TTATGATTTCAGGTAGCAGATAGACATTCATTCAACTAAACAACACCAAGGTCATTCTAAAGAAAAAGGCCTGTAACTGAGTTTGGAATTAAGGGCAACTAGGAACTGAAATTCTCCGCATAACAAATGAGCAGGAATTTAAAGGAAGAGTTAAACAACTAAGTCAGAATTGAAATGGCGAGAAACACTCATCAAGATGGTGACATTGGCCAACCTACACAATTTAGGACCAATGAAAAGTTTATTCTACAAAGCAGTCAAAAGGATATTTACAATGGAGATTTCTAGTGTGCAATTTTAAGTGAATATTGTAAGCAGTCCATTTTCCTTTGAAGAAATAAGTTCCACATTATAAATAAAGTTCTGTTACATGACAAGATTCATTTTATAGCTACTTAGTCCATAGAAGGGTGGACAGGTAGAATAGAAGCCATCAAGTGAAATTTCCAAGATAGCAACAAAATATAAGAATGTAAGGGATATGAAAAATAAAAACCAAAGGCGGCCATGACTCAAACAAAGAACCTAAAATTCATGGGATGTATGAATTCAGCAATTTTATGTGGAATGTAAGTAATGTGGTTACTTACCTGAATTCTAAGTTCAAATTCAGTCTCAAAATTTAAGAAATATAAAACAATTCCCAGAATTAACTCAATCTCAGTTGCACAGAAAAATAAGATTCCACCAAAATAAAATTTTCTCCAATATTATGCTGAGTCTTAAGTCAGTATCTTAGTATGACAACAAAAAGAAAGAAAGAAAGAAAGAAAGAGAGAGAGAGAGAGAGAGAGAGAGAGAGAAAGAAAGAGAAGAAAAAAGAGAGAGAGAGAGAGACAGAGGGAGAAGGAAGGAAGGGAGAAAGAAAGATGATGTAACATCCACATCTGAAGTGGAGAAGCAAAACTGTCTTTACTCACAAAAGAAATAATCCTACATGTAGAAATCTCAAGGAAGTCACAATAAATTACTAGGACTAACACATGAATTTAGCAAGAATACAGGATACAAGATCAATACAAAAACTGTATTTCTACTCTAAAAATCAATCAGAAAATGAGATTAAGAAATCCATTAATGATACCATCAAAAAAAAAAAAAGAATAAAACATAGAGAAATAAATTTAACAAGACAAATGTAAGATTTACATTGATAGGTACAAAACACTGCTGGGAAAAATTAAGGATCAAAATAAGCCAAGGAACATTTCATGGTCATAGCTTGGACAATTCAGGATCTATAAGAAAGCTTCTCCTCCCAAGTTGATCTCTAAGTTCCTTCTACTCCATACAAAAATAATGCCATCTCTATTTCCTAAGGAGAAGTTAAAATAAATACAGAGGTTTTCTGCCCTCTGTGTTTTGCTTTTCTCTTCAATTCCAGTCAGAGGGTCCCTCATTGCTTAGTAGAGTCTGGGCTCCTCCGAACAGCTGCAGCACCCTTGGCTACCTCACTATCTGAAACATGGACCATTGGAACCAAAACTGTCTCATTTGACATTTCCTAAGTGCTAAGGGACAAAATGGCTTTATAAACTTATTGTAACCCTAGATTCAATACCACAAAACTAAAAATTCAGATAATCTAGAATAACACATAACTATTAGATAGCTTATATATTCTCTTATCCATCTTAATTCCCCAAGACAAGACAGTATCCCCAGAACCCAGTTACCTGTTTAATCTACAGGTAAAATACCATGACCTGTTAGACTTTAGCGAGAGCATCTTAAAGTTATCCAGAGGGTAAGTCTGTTGACAGGAACAGGAAGTAGAGATATTAGAAAAAGAGAAAAAGGGCCAGCATTGTGGAGTGGCAGATAAAGCTACTGCAACACTGGCATCCCATATGGGTGCCAATGTGTGCCTCAGCTGCTCCATTTCCAATCCAGGTCCCTGCTAATGGCCTTGGAAAACCAGCAGAAGATGGCGGAGGTGTTTGAGCCCCTGCCACCCACATAGGAGACCTGGATTAGGTTCTTGGCTCCTGGCTTCTGGGGCCATCTGGGAAGTGAACCAATAGATGGAAGATATCTCTGTCTGTCTGTCTGTCTCTCTCTCTCTCTGTGTGTGTCAGTCTCTCCCCCTCTTTGTAACTCTGACTTTCAAATAAATAAATACATCTTTTAATAAAAAAGAGAGAGGAAAAAAACAATGAAAAAGAATCTTGGTTACAATTTTACCAAGATGCTGGTCAGGTTAAAATTTGCTTAAGAGAAACACCTAGTAGAAAGATTATTGTGACATTACTATTTTACAATTGGGGGCTGTGAAGGGTGGTGATCCATTCTGTATATGAATTTCTTCCTGCCTAGTTGTTTTACTGACTGATTATAGAGGGAGAATGATAGAAGAAAGAGCTCCCTTATGATGGTTCCCTACTGATATATATGTGCAATGTCAGGGAGCCAAAGCCAGGAGCCAAGAATTCAATTCAGAGCTCCCATGCGGGTAGCAGGAACCAAAACACTAGAGGCATCATCACAGCTTCTCAGGATCTGTGTTGACAGGAAATATGAGTCAAGAGCTGGAACCAAGAATTGATCCCAGGGACTCCAATGAGAGATGCAGGCATCCTAGTCAATGTTGCCACTAGGCCAAACACTCACCCTGTCTCCTTTTTAAAAGAATGGCATTTGAGGCATCATTGTCTTTGAAGCCTAGGAAATAAAGAGTGCAAAGTTAATGGTCGGGCCGCAAGGATTAGAGTCTCCATTTCTTCCTTTACTCTCCTAAGAGTGGAAATGTGGTCAGAGTTACCTCCTATCTTACTCAGATAGTTCATCTATCAGTTGGGCCTCTCCTGTGCTCTGAAGCTGGACATGTTCTGGAGCCCATTTCGACTACTGCATGCTGCTGGACACAGCTCCCTGACCTGTCATATAACCTCCAAAGTCTGTGCATGAAACAAAGAAGAATTGCAATTTCTTATAACCTCCGTGCTCCCATTAGTATAAACTCTAGAAGCCAAAACAGTAGAATGAAGACAAAAGCTTACCCAACCGTCTCTGTTCCTCCAGAGCCTTAATATAGAAGATCACTTTCTCTATTCTGTCTGTACAAACATCAGTGTGTTATTTATGTCAATATTTCATGTGAATATTGCAGGAATACTATGTAGGGACAATGAATTAAAAAAACGAGTAAAAGAAGGTGTTCATCAATCAATCAATCAATCGTGTTAGGATTGCTTGACTGGTGCGGACAAAAATGGAAAACCATGAAAACTGGATATCCTGTAGCCAATGCTAATTATCATAGAAACTGGTCAAACTTCTTCAAGTGTTAGGAAGATGAAAAGTTAAGTGAGTTAAATTATTTTTTCAAAAACAATAAGCTAAGCAACCAAAAGCTAAATAAATTGAAATATTCATTTCTGTGAAATCATGTTTCTACTCCTAGTGACAAAGAAATTGAAAAGATATGTTTATGGCCGGCGCTGCGGCTCAATAGGCTAATCCTCCACCTAGCAGTGCCGGCACACCGGGTTCTAGTCCCGGTCGGGGCGCCGGATTCTTTCCCGGTTGCTCCTCTTCCAGGCCAGCTCTCTGCTGTGGCCCGGGAAGGCAGTGGAGGATGGCCCAAGTGCTTGGGCCCTGCACCCCATGGGAGACCAGGAGAAGCACCTGGCTCCTGCCTTTGGATCAGCGCAGTGCACCGGCCGCAGCGCGCCAGCCATGGCAGCCATTGGAGGGTGAACCAATGGCAAAGGAGACCTTTCTTTCTGTCTCTCTCTCTCACTGTCCACTCTGCCTGTCAAAAAAAAAAAATGCAATAGGATTTATTTTTGCAAAAGAAAAAACATGAGGAGGTGAAACAAGAAGCAAATGATCATCAAGGATTCTTGTGATTTGTTCAGTTTTCATACTAGAAGAATGCAATTAAACACATTGAGTTGACAATTTTGCAAATTCGCTGTCTAAAAGGCTGAGGGCAGGGGATGGGCCTTTGTTGCAGTGGTTAAGATGCCACTTGGGATATTCACATCTCTTATTGGAGTGCCTGGTTTCAAGTCCCAACTCTATCCCAAATCCAGCTTCCTGCTTATAAATACTGGAAGAAGCCATCCCTGCAGCCCACATGGGAGACACAGATTGAGTTTCTAGCTCCTGGTTTCCACCTGGCTCAACCTGGGTTGTTGTGGGTAGCTAGAGACTGAATCGGTGGATGAAACATATCTCTTACTCTCACTCTCTCCCTTCCTCTCAAATAAAAATGAAAATAAATAAGTAAAAGTTTTAAAGGAAAGACTAAAGGCATAGTTACATGTGCCACCTCTTATGCAATATAATTTTTGTAATAAAAATATCACTTTTGTAATAAATCATTTTGAGACCACAAAATATAAAACTATTACAGCTGACAATTGTTTTTTACCACAAGTATTAAGCTTGAGATACTGAAATTCTAGAAGTCTTCCATGGTTGATGCTTGAGAATAAAAGAGAAAAATTTTTTCAAATGCTTGAATTTATTCAACAGATAATTGCATTGCTACATATCTGCTATGTCCCAGGTCCTGTGGTAGGAGCTAAGTAATAAGCAGAAAGCTAACCATGTAGGATCCCCCTACCCCAACAGAGTTTACTGTCTAAACTCATCAACCACTTCTAATATTTACAACCAACTCCAATATTTCACCTTTCTATCACAGAGGTTCAAGGATAGATGGGACATGAGCTCTATCATTTCATTGTTTTTACTGTTTATTTCAGGACTTACTTTCAAATGGATATACATCGTTATAAAGTTACTTACATATAGAAGGTATAATAAAAGATGCATGTCAAAGTTTGCACTTTGAAAGGAATAGAGGTCAGAAATGAGACACAAAGAGAACTAGAGAGATATGTGTAGTGTCTTACGTAATAAGAGACAGGCAATTTTTGCTAACTGATCAATTAAATGGACATAGATTCTTAGTACTGTTATACTATTAAATCTATATTTTAAACATTATTAAATAATATTTACATATTTTCCAAGAAAAATATACAGACCCTTTGAAGAATATTATTTCTAGAATACTTTCAGCTAAAAGTTGTCCTTATGAATAAGCCTACAACACTGCTAAATGCAAGTCCAGTGGCTTTTGGGAGTGCTGCTATGTTGGTGGAGTACAATTTCTTGATTGAAGGAGGGAGATGCTGTCTTTCTGTAAAATAAAAGGAATTTTAAAGTACTGAAAATACTAATTACCCCATACCAACTAAAGAGAAATTGCATTTATGCCAAGTCAACTATTGTTGCACATGAGAGGGCTCTTCGTGGAATTATGGGGACACTCTGTAAATTTAGTAGAAAGGTTTGCTACATGCATACTTATCTTCAATAGTTTACAAAGAACTAGTACATGGACATAATATGTTTGGAGTTAACCACAAAAAGGTGGTTTTTTTCTTAATGGCTAAAGTTATGTTACGAAGAAATGAAATTTGGGAGGATTTTGTACAGAACACTAGGTAAATCAGGTGAATGCTAAGAAAGAAAGTGAAATGGGAGTTCAGGCCTCTTGAGATAAGTTGAGGCAGATGAGACATGATCATGAGGTAGATTCTAAAAGTACCCTGCACAAATTCCCCCTCTGCGCTCTGTAAACATATTTCTGAGTGTTTAAACTTGTAAATGTAAACAATATTTTTAAAATTTTTAATCTATATATTAGATATTTTTAGTGTGATTTTTGTAGGTTCCTCAACTCCTACTATAGGAATTGAATCCTACATAAACCAGCAAGAGGTCATTTCAGATTGGAACAAACAAAGATTGTTTCACTGTCCCCCACCAGATCATGCAGCATTCTTCTAAATTTTTTGCTTCTGTCACAAAGCCATGTGTCATAAATCAGGTGACATACCTTCCCAAGAATTTAGAGCTTAGTTTGGGTGCTCAATATAAGTTACATATTCATCTTGCATCTCCAAAATTTACATGTGCTTTTCCCTCTAAATTATTTTATACCTCCCTCACGAAAGAATGTGCTCATGATGAAATATTTTTATGCTACGGAATTATATGAATATCTTCGTTTGTTCCACAATATGTGATAATAACATAGCTTATATAAACTGCAATCAGAGAACACATGAGATTTTTTAGACTCTCATTTCAAAAGCCTTTCTTAAGAAATGCCTGGTGCCTTAACTTTTGTTCAGAGTTGGTATATAGACCTGATTTCACATGACAACTGTGACTCATTAGTCATGGCTGCCTTAAATTCTGTATTGAGGGTGATCACGATGCTTTACATGGGATAATTTGAAATAGAAGACTATTAAAAATGCCTGCATTGGATGGAAAAAAGATGAAGTGGTTGCACAGGCAAGACATATTTATCATTCAGTCTTATTGGCAAGTGATAATCAAATGCAAGGCAAATCGCAATAGTATTAAGACAATAATTTACTACCCAACAACCAACAACCATACTTTTCGGAACTTAGAGGAGCATCACAATTAATTAGAAACAGCAAGATATAGCTCCATGATAATATCTAATTTAAGTGCTAAGCCTTCCAAGTATAAGTTATACGTAGTCTGTTCTAGGGACCAGTTGTTCTATTCCTTAGCTACACATTGAAATCACCTGGGAAGATACTAAAAATACCAATATCTAAGCCTTATATCAGACTAATAATATCAGAATTTCTCATGTAGAGTCCTGAGCTTCATCAGTTTTCAACATCTTTAGATACGATTCTGGTGCAGAGAGAGTGGGAGTGAGAATGCACCAATTTTTCCCTCTGCCATGATTCTACCTCACTCCTTAATAGCCTCCTGGGTCTCCATATATCTTTTCAATTGCTCTAAAAGGTGTATCAAAAACCACTTTTAAAAGACTGGCTGATGGCACTTAAACAAATGGATTTTTGTTGGCAATGTGAATTGTGAACATTTTCTTTGCCAGTAAGTTTTCTCTACATTCAAGAGAAAGTTTAAAGCAGAAAGCAATCATAATAATGAAACAAATGGCTAACCTCATATAACATTACTGTTAGAATTTTATTCCCCTTTTCCTTCACCTGCCCTCTTTGAATAAAGCTAATTGTAAGTAGTAAAATACTATTTTATGCCCGGCTAAATGCTGCCAAAGAGTAAGGGAGTAGGGAACGCAAGCAGGAGTGCACATGCACGTGCCGTGTGTGCATGCACCTCACATACGCTGACCTTCAGTTCCCTATGGACATTTGGAAGTTGTCAGCAGTAGCATAATGACAGTCCTAATTATTAAAATTACTCTTGTGTGGAGAGTTCTTTAGAGTAAGATGCCGACAGGCATGCAATATGTTAACTGCTCTATGATCTTTTATTTTAAAAAAAAATAAAATTCTTAGGAATATTCTTCTGGATTTTATCAAAACACCTCTCACTGCCCCAGTGACATACACTCTCACACACATTCCAATAGAATTACTAGTAAGTTCTGATCTCGTAAGTAATACAATGCCCCAAAGATGTATTTTATTAGTTTGTCTAAGAGATGTTCCTATAATTACAAAATCTTCTATAGCTTCAGTTGCTCATGTTCTTATACAGGATCACATATGCACCAGATATCAAGTAATTTGCAGTGTCATGAGACACAGTGATTAAATATTATAAATTTGAAAATATTACACCAGTTTTCTTAAAGGGCTCAAACTGAGCCAAACCTTAGCCTACCAGATGACTTTATATATTCCAATATGAATTTACAAATAAATAATTATCCCAGAAAATTCATATATTTCAAATATTTCATGGTCTAACATGGGTCTCTGTGAATCATACAAAATGCCAAATAGACAAAAGCTATAGCTATAGTGTAACAAAGAGAAACGCCTGATTACTTCAGGAAGAACAAGGACCAGTGATTGCCAGTCACTTGGAAGCAAATTTGGAATCAACATAAAATAAAATGAACATTCAGTTAAAAATGGGGTACTTTGTCATCCTCGTGATTGGTTCCTAGTATTCCAAACTACAAAAAAACAACATGCTTGAAGGTGACAAAGCTGCAAAGAAAAGGTTATGTAAAACGGAGAGGATCCCAGCATTCTCCCCCTTCCACGGAGGAAGTGTCAAACATTCATTCTCAGACACAGTGAAGCAGCAACCCAAACACAAGCACTCTTGTCTCTGGGAACCACAGGCTGCCTTCGTAACCAGGCCACAGAGGTAATTAAATATTTGGTGTTAAAATGCCTTGCCTTCCAGCTCCCAGGCAACCTTCTGTTGAGGCCAGATAACCAAGAAGAAAGTACATGCTCAAATCTTTATCTCAGGGTACAAAGACAGTGCAAATGGATAAATAAATAATAAACATTAAATACTAACAAATGTGGCAATTTATTGAGTAAATAAACTAAATTGCCTTCCCTTTTTTCTCTCATCACATTTTCCCCTGTATGTCAATCATACAATATATAAATTAAGGCAAACCTTCTGTAGAAAAAGAAAAAAAATATATTCTTCAATTGTGTCTGATAATCTTATATAGTTTCAAATAGTTTTGATTCTGTCTCCCAGAAAAAATATTTGTCTGATATAAAGGATAGTGAATAATTTCTGTAATATTTAGCCTTGCAAAACACTGGGAAGAACTCAGACAGACACTAATGGTACTCTAAATTATTTTCTTGCCATACTATTCCATATGAGCCCATACACTGAAAATTGTTAGCATGAGCTAATTAAAGAAGAAGAAATAGTAGTTTAATTTGGAAATTTAACAGACGAAAAAATCTGCTTTTACTTTGAATAATGAAATAATAGCTTTCCAATCAGGCAATTCAAATTGCAAGAAGGTTTCTTTTAATAAAAGTAAATTAAGGAGTTAGGATTTATTGTTTATTGCCTAAAAGTGGACATCATTCCTGTGATGCTCACAAGCTGCTGTCAATGAGTGGACATGCTAAGGGTGTTAAATGTTGATGATTCAGCGATATGGGGCAGCAAGTGTCTAAGGAGAAAAGATCCTGTAGAAGTATAATAATCTCTACCCAGCCTCAAAGCTGTAACAATGTATTACTGATCTCTTGCTGCCACTTAGTTTTAATGCCATCTTGATCTGTTTTTCTGAGGGTTGAAAAGGCTATTGGGTCTCTTTATGTATCTGTGTGCTGAACTCAGTTCTGTGAATTTACAGGGAACAACTTAATTCACTAGGAAGATACAAAAGCTGCAAACAAAAGGCAAATGCATGTGGTGTTTTCCTGAATCTTCTTGATTTCCATTCCTCTGGCTAGCTGAAGGCTCCATCACTCTCTTTCATTCAAGTCTTCTAGAAAACAAAGAGACTAACCAATCAAGTGTCTGGAAATAATAAGATAGAATTAAAAAGGAGAGAATGTTCCAACATGGGAAGCAGTCCACATAGCAGACTCGTAGAATGACAATCACTTTAAGTAACACTCTGACCTTAGAACCACATTTCAGGATTCCTGGTCTGGCTGAAAAGCCCGTGAGATCATTTCAGGCATGGAAAGCCAAGACACTATGACAAAAAAAAATGTTCTACATGAAAGATCTCTGTGAGACCCCAGTAGAAAGAAGTGGCCATCAAAGAAGGATGTACTTTTCTCTAAATAGAGGAAAGAACCCCTTTGCTTATGGCCTTGTCCAAATATGACAGAGTTTGTGGACTCAAACGGCTTCCATAGCCTAGGCAGCTCATGTCAAGAGCCTCGGGTGGTCACTGACATCATACATAAGAGTGTTAATTGTTAACAACAGGAGTCACTGTGCACTAACTCTCCATACAGGACCTCTGTCCTCAATGAGTTGTATTAGAACTAACTGTAAAATTTGTTCTCAAATAGTTGTGTGTGTATGTGTGTCTGTGTGCAAATTGTTGAAATCTTCATTTAGTACACAGTTGGTCTTCAGTGTACAAAGTTAATTGAAAATGAATCTTAATGGAGAATGGGACTGACAAGGAGAGAGGGAGAAGGGAGGGGAAAGGTAGGTGGGATGGCAGGTATGGTTGAAGAATAACTATATTCCTAAAGTTGTACTTAAGAAATTTGTATTCCTTGATAAATAAATAAATAATTCAAAAAAGAGACTAACCTTGGCTTCTGTGGTTTTGAATGTTGGCCAAGTTTCATCTCAGGGCATTTTAGTGGAACTTGAGGTCTAATGGGAAATTGTTTTAGTCTCAAGAACCACACTGCTTAAATGATTCATTTCAGATTGTAAGGACAAAGGAAAACATTGTAACTCCAGAAGCTGGCTTTGGGATTTGTAAACTGGCTCTGTATTCATTAACACGGTTCTTCAAGTTAGATGAACTTTGCAATGAATAAACTTTAAAGCATATCACTAGTATACATGAAACGAGATTACTTGTGTAAATGGAACACTTTAAAGCTTAGCTCAGCGCATTTTTAATAAATCGTGTTTTCCTTTTACCTCTTCCACCCCTTCCACTTTAATTTTTTCATCTATTGATCACAGTGGTGTTATTTAGGTAATATTCTCACTTTAAAATAGGGGAGAAAATGGAAATTCAGAGAGGTTGAGGACAATTTCTGTGAATCATGTCATGATAAGTATCAGAATTAGTTTTTACCCAAGTCCAACTCATGACACATTATTTGTAAGAAAATATGCATCATGCTTATAGTGTTTCCCCTGAAGTACCTCTCCAAATTAGGGAAACCCCTGACATCTGTGAAGTCTGGCTATACCTGTGCCTTGAGCCCACCTTTTTTATCCATTTTCTCTTACAATCTAGATTCAGAAATAGAAGTGACACCCCACTTTCAGAGAAGAATGTTGAAGTCTGAAAAGGATTGGTTGCTGGTTTTTGTTATAGAGACTGGATTTTCTTGGCTTTTGTTTTTGCATCACTACATAAAATAATTCCAAAGAATATTACAATGCTACCTTTTGTAGAACTACAGTTAATATTTTGCTTTGTGATTTTCCATGCTTCCATTTGAGCTTAAAGTAAATATTTGTGTACTTTTTACAAAAGTAATACACTAAAAACTTTGTAACCTGATTTTACTTTTAAAATATCAATTAGAAATATTTGAACACATAAATTGCAATTAATCCATAATTTTGTGTTATAAAATATAACTACACAATCCCGTATTGGGGTGTATGTCAGTCATTTCTATTTGCATACTACACTAAATGCCTACCACGCAGTCATGATCTATCAAATCCAATCCATGTTAGTCATCATTTCATTACATCACTGAATGCCTGCACTACCCCTGATATAGACATTGTAAAAATTATCTATTGTAGATATGAATAAACAGAATCCAGAATTTTTTTTAAAAATCCTGTTAAAAATATATTTTGCTAATATTTCAAATTGAAGTATTTATAAATACTTTCTGGAAATGGAGATAGTGTACATTTACCAACAATTTAGGAGAGACTGTTTCTCTGGACTGTCATATTATTATAAGTTTTATATATTTCAATTTTAAAAAGACAAAATTTCTGCTTTGGTTATGCATTTAGGTTCCTGCCCATGATTATTGGGGTTGAATATTTTAGTAAATCTATGAGCTATTTGTCTTAATCCTGTTGTCAATAACTTAGTTGTGCCATTTCTCTGTTAAAACGGTATTTTTTCTGGGGCCCTAATTTTTAGCATACTGGTTTTATTAACCATTTTTCATGTGTATTATAAATATTTGTCACTTACATGCTGGGGTTCTCACATTTTTATTAATCACATTTCTCTTTACTGAGACACATATACATAAAAATGCCTATGTGTGTATGTTTCCAATTTTGAAAACTGTTAAATTCACTGCAAGTTTGAAAGACCAGCAGAGAAATCCCTGAATGATTCAGCAACACTTCACACTCCACAATACCTGCAACAGATCTGCATGTATACATTCACATGTAAGCACTCGTGCACACACACAAAGTTGCCTTCCCACAAATCTTCCAAAAATGAGTGACACATCACTCCTAAGTATCTCGACATGTGTTTTCCAAGGAAAGCATTTTTTATGAAACCACAGCATCGTTTTCCTACCTAAGAAAATCAACAATAATAGTATCACCCAGTGAATAGTTCATACATGAATTTTCTCAGTTTTCTTCTGAATATTACTTCAGACTCTAGTGGTTCATTGCCTTTGACTCCAGTTTCCCTAATCTTTAAGAATTATACTCCTGGGGCTGGTGATGTATAACAGTGGGTTAATCCTCTGCCGTGCCGGCATCCCATATGGGTGCCAGTTCTAGTCCCAGCTACTGCTCTTCAGATCCATCTCTCTGTCATGGCCTGGGAAAACAGTGGAAGATGGCCCAAATTCTTGGGCCTCTGTGTCTGAGTGGGAGATCTGGAAGAAGCTCCTAATTTCTGGCTTCGGATCAGCTCAGCTCTGGCCATTGCAGTCATTTGGGGAGTGAACCAGCGGATTGAAGACCTTTCTCTCTGTCTCTCCCTCTCATTGTCTATAATTCTGTCTCTCAAATAAATAAATAAAATCTTTAAAAAAAACACACACAATTATACTCCCTCTTTGGTCCTTTATGCTACTAACTTCTTGACAGGTTCAGGTTAGTCAACTTATAAAATATTTCACTTTCTAGATAAATCTGACTTTTCTTTTAATAGATTCAGGTTAAACATATCTGACAAGAACATAGCATTGGTGATTAGGCATACTTCCCAATGCATACATCATGAGTCTGTGTCTGCTAAATTAAAATAAATTAAAGTCGCAGGAGGCAGATGGTTTGATATACTATCTGCTTTATCACACAAAAATTCCCCAAAAAAAGTAGATTAAAGAAATTAACTTGTACCAAAAGCCAAAATAGAGATTCCTATTATATCCTTTAAAATATGCCAAGTAAACGCTCCCATCCTACTATAGGTGGCTGAAAAATGACAGTCCATGTACTTCCTTCCCCAGACACAGCCATATACATTTACAGTTGAAAAAAGTAGAGACAAATATCTAAGTTTGAGGACAGGCATTTGTTACAGAATTTAAGATGCTGCTTGAGATGCCTGCGTTCCACATGGAAGTGTCTGGTCCAAGTCCCTTCTCTACCTCTGATCCAGTCTCCAGCTAATGTTCCACGTAGGAGGCAGTGTTTGGGTACCTGCCACCCTTGTAGAAGATGCAGACTGTGTTCGGATTTCTGCCTTAAATTGGCCCACTCCCAGCGATTTTTGGAGAATCTCGGGAGTGAACCAATGGATAAAAGTGCTCTCTCATGCTGTTCTGTCTCCCTCTCTCCCCTCAACACATTCTTCAAATAAATTAATTTTTAAAATCGAAATTTTTCCAAATATATTTAAATAATTTCCTTCTACTGAATCATCCTAAAACAGGAATGAAGAAAAGCACATTCCCATAATGATCAGGTCTAATACAGTCACAGGATGAAGATGAGCCGGTTCTTGTTCAGAGGAAGAAATCAGAGTCCAGATGACTATGTACCTCTGAGGATTGAGTGAAATCTTAGTCTGCAGAAGGCACGGGTGCTGCTCAGCAGCAAAGAAACCAGTGCTTTTAATTTTATTCCTGATATATTTTTAAAATATGTACATATGAATCTATGTTTTATTAATCTTATATAGCCAATGCTTTCAATATATTATTTATGATTTCTTTCTTCCCCTTAATATTGATAAAACTATTACCCTTCCAAAGATAAAAATGAGTACTATTTATCATCTATTTGTTTATGACCTATTTTTCATATCAATGTCTAATTCATTTCAAATCTATTTTGATTGAATTACAGGTCATATTATATTACTCTTTTTGGGGAGTATTCTGCTAATGGTATTGTCAAAAAGAAATATAATGCAAGCCATATAAGTAAGTTCAAACTTTCTAGTAAGCACATTAAAAATTTAAAGAGAAACATGTGAGTTGATTTTAATAACATTTTTATTCAGTTCAACCTTTCCAAAATATTGTCATTTTAACATTTAATAACATAGAATAAATTACTAATGAGACATTTTACATTCTTTGCACATGCTGTCTTTGGAATATGGGATATGTTTCATATTTACAAAACTTCTCAATTCCAACACTAAACTTTAATCAGCAGTACTTAGCATATATTTAAATTGAACAAATTTACTACTGAAAAAGTCAACTAACCTACTCAAGTTGTCCCAAACAAAACTTTTCTAATGATAGAATTAAGTGTCAGTACAAGATTAGATTTTTAAATAATTTTTTCTAGAAAATTCTTATTCATTTAGTGGCTGAACAGAGATTTAATTTGGTAAAAATTTTTCAAGTAACTGCTAAATATTTAACATAATGAAACTCATAGTCCAAATTTATAAAAACTTGATAATAATTTAGGAAGACAAGCATGATAGATGATTGTTAGATAGATAGAGAGATAGTAAAATGAACTAGTTAAAATGTTAAGTTCATGTCGCATGTACATATTATAGCTTGAAATTGGAAGAAACAAGGTGGTCTACTTTTACTTCAAAGCTAAGAGAAAATTATGATTTTTCTGGGCCCTACAAACAACTGTACCTTTAAAAAAACTTTTTTTTAATTTAAGAGGTTGGGGGATGGGGAGAGACAGAGAGAGAGAAACAGATGTCCCATCAGCTGGTTTATTCCCCAGATGTTCACAAAGCTTCTGGCACCAAAGCCCTAGGAACTACAAACTCAATCCACTTTTCCACATGGGTGTTAGGAACCCAATCACTTGGACTATCACCTCTGCCTCCCAGGGTCAGCATGAGCAAGGAAGGTGGAGTTGGAGCAGAGTTAGGTAGCAAATCCACTCTCTGATGCGTAACATAGGTGTGCTAACCTGATGATTTTAAGCATGAATGAGAGTTGTCAAAATCCTTAAGAAACACTCTATTTATAGTAATAAGAATAAATCACTATATAAAAGAAGCCCTTCTCAAATTTAGGAAATATGATAAGGGTTTATCGTCTTCAGGATATCTTCAGCTTTAGAATTGAATGGAAGGGTTTTTTATGCATTTTATTTTTTTTACTTTTTTGTTTATATAAAGGGAACAAATTTCATGTATTTCATATATACAGTTTTAAGAATGAAATGATATTTCCCACCTTATCCTTCTTGCCTTCCTCACTGTCAGCCTCCCTACTCGCCCTTTTCTTATATTTCTTTTAATTTGTACAGTGACATACTTTCAATTTACTTTATAATCACAAACTCATGCCCCTGTGCAGTTAGAGTGATCCTCACAGAGAGCCTTCTTCTTGAGTTTATTGGCCCCATGGTTCCCTACAAGATAAAATGGAAAACCATATGTTCTTAGTTATTTGGTAACAAAATTTGAATTCTTCTATGGGCGACTGTGGGATTTTCTGATTCATTGACTGCTTCCCAGCTACTGTTGGGTTAAAGGACTCCTGTGATAATAACAGTTCTAATTAAGGCACCAATGATGGCCCTAGACTGATTAAAAATATGTCACTGTGCTGCATTTGTTAGGGAAGTTAGATACTATTGTGGCTTTTATACCATTCCTGTAGTACAGGATAATTTGGGTTTTTATTGTTTCATTTTACCAGTAACCAATAAAATCAACATATAGCAATATATAAATAAAGACAAAACCAATGATTTTATTAGGAAATACAACCAAGAATATGAAATATGAGAAAAAAAACTGAAGAAAACAAAATGATCTTATCTCTAGATAGTGTTTCCCTTGAATTATACCCAATTTGTGAACAGTAGCATGTTTGCTACAATTTGTCATAAGAACAATTTTTGTCACTTCACATTCTGCTAAATAAGTTATTTTTCTTTTGTTGCCTCAGTTTCTATAATTTGGACTAAAAGAATTAAGGAAAAATGCCTCACTTAGAGCAAAATTTTCATTTGTATCTAACCATTTAGAGACTTACTCCCCCCTATTTATGAAGTGGCAGGGTAAAATAGCTACTTTTGTGTGTAACAAAGGCAGCAGGTTTACCAGGGAGCACTACCTTGTTTTAGCCCATCCTAACACAGGGCAACTAATTTGAAAAGCTTGGTAATTTCTGCCTGCAGCCTCTTGCGTTTTCTCAGAAAATGAAGGGAAGCCTGTACTGGACGAGGAGAGGGACCAGGGGGAGGGAAAGACAAGCAAAAATGGAAATAGAGTAGGGAACTGCTGAGGCATGGCTAATCAGAAAGGACACTTCATGCATATTACGGACCCATTGTGATAATAACATTGGAATCAAATTGCCTCCCTAAACCACTTGAGACACTCTGCATCTTTAATTTTTAAAGTTATGAAGACACTTGACACAGAAGGGGATCAATTATCAAGAGTTGTCGTGCAAATACTTACTTAAGCAATGCAGTGGGTCCAAGTTAGTAGGAAATCCGCACTCTTGCAGCCACATAATGGCAACTAATTACACAATTCCAGGATCCTTTTCCAGTGGTCTCAGTGGGCAAAAACAGTCATGGTTGATTTATTTTGATTCACTTTCAGGAGTCTAAAGTTATGATAAATTTATATATTTGCTAAAGAAAATTGGTTCTGATCATGAAACCACCAAAACATTAAAAACAAAGGGAGGCTTCCACAGTGAACCTGTTAGGTTCTCAAGTCCTTGAGATGAATAATTTGGTACTATTTAATAATGGAGTAAATGAAAAAAATAATGGAATAGAGGTGTCCGGTTAGGGGTAGAGGCAGCTCCCAGATGGAGGCAACTTCTACAATGGGCAACGTTGAGCACATACAAGTGGAGCGATGAGTATTTAGACTGTGCCCTGTATGGGCCACTCAATGGAGTGTTTTATTGCGTGTGAAGAGGAGTACTTTACTTCCTGTTAAGAGTTCTGAGGACCTGCTCAGGAATTGACTTCATTCTGGATTATAAAGCTTCACTCACAGTTGTTTATTTTTATTATTACAATACGATAATCAACCGATTTAGTGGAAAAATCTCTACCCTTTTTTTTCTGTCATCCCATCCCCACAAAGTCTCGAGAGATTAATATTCTTCCCACAGCATACAGTCTGAGGGAAAAAATACAGATCCAATCGATAAGGTAACTGGACTTCATATTTGAGTTCAAAAGCACAGATCATTAGAAACTAAATGAAGCCTCTTGGGTTTGTAGTGAGCAATAAAAATAAGCAAATGTACAGTTTTGGCCTATATTTCCTTGAGGAAAACCTCTATCTTTTTCATACTATTGTCTATGAACACTAGCTAAGTATACATAAAATATTTAAATTGAGTATTTCCTTTCTTATTTCTTTTATCTCTCAGCAATTTTCCCATTAAGAAGTAAACATGGTATTGGTTAATGTCTTTCTCATTCTCTTCAATGTATATCTAAAAATGAATCCATTATATACAAGAGGGAATCCATGGCATGATATTTTTAAATCTTTTCCAAAGAGTATCATCTCTATAGCAAATAAACCTGTGCTTGTCAAAGAAGCTCTAAACCACTAAAAAACAAACCAACAAACTATATGTCATTGGTCTATAAAGCCACCGGTGTCACCACCTGCACGGGAGTGGACATGACATTCAAACCTCCACAAGATACAGCAACTGTGAGTTCAAAAATTCATGAAGACTATTTTCATTTTTTTATTATTTTTTTTTAACAGGCAGAGTTAGACAGAGGGAGAGAGAGAGAGAGAGAGAGAGAGAGGTCTTACTTCCATTGGTTCACCCCCAAAATGGCCGCTACGGCCGGCGCTGCACCCATCCAAAGCCAGGAGCCAGGTGCTTCCTCCTGGTCTCCCATGCGGGTGCAGTGCCCAAGCACTTGGGCCATCCTCCACTGCCTTCCTGGGCCACAGCAGAGAGCTGGCCTGGAAGAGGGGCAACCGGGACAGAATCTGATGCCCCAACCGGGACTAGAATCCTGGATGCCTGCACCGCAGGCGGAGGATTTGCCTAGTGAGCCACGGTGCCGGCCGACTATTTTCAACTTGACATATGCCACCAAGTAGCTGCCTAACTGCAATGTCTGCTTCTCATTTTGCTGGCTTGATTCTAGTGGCTGAATTGTGTTTTGTATGAATTCATAAAAACATAAAATAGGTGGGCTGGCATTGTGGAGCAGTAGGTTAAAGGCACCAGTTCGAGTCCTGACTGCTCAGCTTCCAATCCAGCTCCCTGCCCATACTGTTTGGGAAGATAGCAGAAGATGGCCTAAGTATTTGGGCTCCTACCATCCACATGAGAGACCCAGGTGGAGTTCTAGGCTCCTGGGTTTAGCCTGACCTAACCTGGCTATTGGGGCCATTTGGGGAGTGAACCAGCAGATGGAAGATCACTTTCTCTGTTTCTCCCTGTCTCTGTCACTCTGTCTTTCAAATAAATAAATCTTTAAAATTTATATACATATGTATACATATATATATGTATATAACATTTATACCCATTCACACATCTTGCAAATTAAATGTAATAAGAATTGATTTTCTGAACTTTTTATTTTATTTCTCTCTGAAACTTAATTATCATTAGAAAAAATGTTTGCACAATGCTGGATAATACCTGGCACGAAACTGAGTAAGTGATTTCCACTCTGGCCCTCTCAAACTTACACAGAGTCCAAGAAGGAAGGATCGAAAAGCTACCATTCTTATTGATACCACGCTCAATATGATTAGTAAAAGTGATTTTTCTTTCTTCCATCTGCTTTGTGGGCTATTTGCGGGTGGGAAGCTGTTAGCAGTGGCATAGGAACTAATATCATTACATGCTACAGAAAGCAATTGCCTGAGCAATTTTCCTAAGCCAGAGCCGAAGCAAAGCAAATGCAATGCTCCCCCTCACCTCTCGGTCAGCAGCATGAGAGTGCTGCTACACGGTGTCTCCAGAGAGTAAATTCCGTGACAGAAGCTGAATTCTGTGGCCAATCGTATGGTGGCATGGGTCTGCCTCAAATGTGGAACTTAGTATTGAATATCAGATATTTTTTTCCTTTCAAGAGACTGAAGAATAAAGAATTTTAATAACACAGGTGTATCTGCATGACTTCATTAAAAGGAAACAATTCCCAGCTAAAGAAAAATGCACAATGCTATCTGGAAGTACTAGTAAAATATTATGGTTTGCTATTTTAATATCAAGTACAATGGAATAGTTAAAAGTGCTATCTTGAAATCAATCAATATTATATCCTTTAGCTAAAGGATGAGCAAAGTATCCCTGAGTTATGACACTGCGCGTTCAGTGTCTTTCCCCTATTTTAGAAAGTTATATATTCCAAAAAATTATCTCTTCACTTCTAAAGAGATAAGAGGAGAATGAAATGGAAAAGTTCAGTTGCCAGCTAAGCCTTTTATAGATAACATTTAAAGCATCTGCTTTTCCCATATCCCACAACTGAAAATGTAAGCAAATCATATTCATTGAATCCTAAAAGTTCAAAGTGCATATAGCCATGTGCATTAAATAAATGACTATCTTGCTTTTTTTTTTTTTTGCTTTTTGTTTAGTATAGAATTTTATTGTTTAAAATTCAGAATCCAAGTTATGTCATCAGGCTAGGCATTTATACTGTGTTTTCAAATAAAATTGGCATTTTTATATTTTGATATTATTCAAGTTTCTTTTCATCCTTTTAAAATGTTCAGATATAATGCAAAAATATAGACATCTGCAGTCAATGAGATTAAAGGACCATATGTATTTCTTACTTTATAGCATTATAGAGTCTTGAAGCCAGACTGTCTTAGCAATCATTGACTATAAATCCCCTCATATTTTAGATAAAAACAATGGGATCTGAGAAAATGAGTGTTCTACTTGTGAGTCCATGGCATGGCTAATACTAGAACACTTAGACTCTCCATCATGAGTATTTTTACTCTACAAGCTCCCTAGTGAGATAAAAATCAAATAGAGAAATAATCACACAATAATTGAGTAGCTAGGGCACACTAAATCAGTCAAGTATGAAATAAAGCAAAGGAAACAGTTTGGTCAGGATCCCAACAGGAAATAGATGACCTACGCAAACTGGGATCATTGGAAGAGGATTTAATAAATGAACTATTTACCAAAACGTGTGCAGAATATAAATAAATTACAAAAGGTATCTCCAGAGTCCAGGACTATAAATAGCTGAGCTTTTCTCATTCGTAGTTCTAACGCAAAGGAAATGGAGAAGTTTCTAGAAGTGAAAAAGAGAGTTCTGTGGAGAAAGCAGCTTCAGCAGGGACTCTTACTTTCGGCCAAGCATCAGAGTTATTGTGAGAGAGGGAAGCAGTGATGTGAGCTCATTGGTCTCTCTCTCCTTCGTCTGACCTCTTGCAGTTGACTTTGTGCACAAGCTCAGGGGAAGAAAGCAGAATGGGGAAGGGCAAATGGTGGTTCTTGTTAAAGAATAATTATTCGTGACGCTTGGTCGCATGATGAGGGCTGACTTTATCCAGAGGAAGCATGGTGATGGGTGTGGGATTGGACACAACTCCAAGTACAGTGGACACGTGGCATTTGTAGCCATCAGGGTGAGGATCAATGAATGAAACACTACTAAGAGAAAATATCAAGGGCAAGGGAATATTCTGGCTTAAACAACTAACAGGGTTCTTGTTGAAGGCAGGGTAGGGTAATCAAACACTATCAGCTATGTGGTGGAGAATGAGGAACTGCATCAGTTATAGAAGGTGCTCAGATACTGAGGGTTGGTGGGGATTCTTGCAAGACTGACTTGTCTGGGTTCCTGCTAAAATTTTATTTTATAATAGAGTATACAATGGTTTAAGAGAAGGTTCAGGAATCTGACTCTAGTGTGATCAAAGAATCTTTGTCAATCTAAAGGAAAAAATAAAGGCAATAAGGTGAAGTGTGGAAAGAGGAAGAAATGGCAAGATAAGTCTTTTAAAAAAAAGAAAAAATATACCAATTTAAAAGTTAAGAGCAAAAAAGTAAGCAGAGAAATACAGAATGAAAAAGGGAAACTGTATAATTAGTAGACTATAAAGTCATACTTTTCAAAAGACAATAAATAGAGAAAAGGAAGAAAGATTGAGACAGAGAGAAAGAAGGTTGAATATGTAACAGACATATAGAAATTAAAGTTTAAAGAAAAAAAAACCTTCTTTTCAGGTAAAACTTTTCCAACTGGGCCAGAGACAGATAAAAGTTTCTTTTAGATAGCTCTGATCTAATATATATATACAATATTAATTGTCTGGATGGCATGTGAATACTGAGAAATTACAAATTACCTCAGCCAATGAAATACATTTACATTAATCTGAAATCCTTAGTTTGCTAGAGTAATGAAAGAGACTTTGCACCATTTTCATTGGTATCTGGTGATCTAACTTTCCTGACATTGCGCTGGACCTCTACGCTGACTCTACCAACCACCAGCCCCACATATTTCCTCAGTAGTCTTCATGGGTGTCTTCTCCTAAAATACATGGTACACACATCACGCATATCCTGAACAGTCCCTGGTCAACTCATTTTCTTCTGATTTTGCTCTCTTACCTATAGCTACTTAGGATTTGGTTTCTCGCACAGGCACCTCAATACATATAAATCAAAGATAAGAAATGCATCAGGTATATGGGACTTGCCTTCCAATAGTGTCAGGAAAGAATAGAAGCAGCTTCCCTTCACTGGACATTTCCATGTGTTTCTTGATACTTATCACATCTCCATAGCTACACGTTTCACCAGCAAGCATCATTTCCAACTTCTTTCAAAATTTTTAGCCAACAAAAACATATTTTTTTAGCTAGGACAATGACTAAACTCAGAATGAAATTTTTTGTGTGTATAATTCAATTTACGATCATCTCATCAGTTGTCTAGCATCCTTGTATTCTTTGATATTCCATTGGCTCTATTAAGCCTCCATTCCTGCACCTGAAAAAGTAAATAATATCTTCCTCCTCACAAATTATTAAAATTGTATATGAGCTAATTCATGTAAAGTGATGATCACAGTTCTGGAAATAGGAAATCTCTTTGAAAGTTAAGTATTATGATTATTGCTCTCTAAGTGGCTGGCTGTGATGGACTGATGATTTATTATGAAAGATGTTAATGAAGCAAGCTCAGGGTCAAGGCTCTTCTACCAAGAGTAAAAATGAAAGCACAATGCTACCCCATTACAATCCCTTGGTGTCAATTATTAAGATCATCTCTAATGACAAGCTGTTCTTTTTCTCGGCAATGGTACATATTTATCTCCATAAGTCAAATTGGCCATTCCAGAATAAAGCTACATTTTTAAGGGCGACCTCATTTTTCAAAATCTTGTGCTTAATAAATTGTATTTTGGAGCATTCAACTTGATTTTAAAAGAAAAAACAGAAATATTGCAGAGTATATTTCTATAGATATTAGAAAATAACTTTGTAATTAATTCAACGAAAGCGTGATGGACATGGAGAGGTATAATGTGCTATGAGCACACAGTCTAGGCAAGAATATCAGACCAATGGACTAAAATAAAATATGAATCAGAGCCTGAACGAGGATTAACAGAACCAAATAAAACAATCCAAATTGAAACCATGACTGGGCCAGCGCCGCGGCTCACTAGGCTAATCCTCCACCTTGCAGTGCCGGCACACTGGGTTCTAGTCCCGGTCGGGGCGCCGGATTCTGTCCCGGTTGTCCCTCTTCCAGGCCAGCTCTCTGCTGTGGCCCAGGAGGGCGGTGGAGGATGGCCCAAGTGCTTGGGCCCTGCACCCTATGGGAGACCAGGAGAAGCACCTGGCTCCTGCCTTTGGATCAGTGTGGTGCGCCAGCTGCAGCGCGCCAGCCGCAGTGGCCATTGGAGGGTGAACCAATGGCAAAGGAAGACCTTTCTCTCTGTCTCTCTCTCACTGTCCACTCTGCCTGTCAGAAAGAAGGAAGGAAGGAAGGAAGGAAGGAAGGAAGGAAGGAAGGAAGGAAGGAAGAGAAAGAAAGAAACCATGACTAGCTTATGCATGAGATAATTAGTATGGTGGGTAAAAAAATAGTTAAATGTGTTCCCTTATTTTTAAAATTGGCTTTTATCTCAAAATACACAAAAGTATGTAACCAATACTTCAGACCAACTTCTCAAATTTAATAAACTTGTTATCACATTTTCTCTAGATAATTCTGGGAAGACTTAAATCAGCTAAGATTTAATAAAATTCATCTCTATGCAGACTTACATCTTATTTTGTGTCATCCCCCTGATATCCTGGATATAATAGTCATTCTGGGGTTGAAATGTATCCTTTACATTCATGTTTTCATACTTTTACATAGAAATATGTAATATATGCCTGTGTGTCTACATACAACATGATTTTTATGTGCTTCAAATTTAAGGTAGTGGGTATCATATTCACTCTTAAAAGTTTACCTTTTTCCTCTTGAGATTTTTCTATTTATTTTCTTTATTCATTGTGACTGCTAGATATAAAACTATCTAGTTCGATAGGTTGTTTCTGCCTTTAATTTTACCATAAATAACATTTCATTGAATACCATTGTACATATTTTCCTGCGTACTTATGCAAGTTTTTTTTAAGTGAATATTGCACCTAAGTGCAAGACCCTAGTCTACTTAGCTAATCAGGACCAAATTGTCTCAAAACTCCATCAGTTTATGCACTGCCAACATATGAAGGTTCCTTTTACTCCATATCCTTACCACCAGTACTGTGAGAATAATTTAAATATTTTTGTGTTCTGGTGACTCTAAAGTCAAATAATATTATTTAGATTTTATTTAAAAATTAAAGAAGGCTTAAAATGAATGTCTTTTAAGCAGTCAACCAATAGGATATAGAGTTGAAGAGGCTTACGGACTGTCCCTTTAGCCCACTTTGTTTCTATATTCAATGTTACCATGCCTTGTGTAGCAGTATGTGGGGCCCATAGAATGGCAGGCAAAGCAGTGGATTATCTTTCTGCACAAAGCAGAGAAAGGCAACTTGCACCACCCCGTTTTCTTCATGGACAAGAGTAACCTGACACTTAACAAATA